GGCAGTATCAGACATACAGGCAGTATCAGACATACAGGCAGTATCAAGCATACAGGCAGCATCAGGCATACAGGCAGTATCAAGCATACAGGCAGGCAATATCAGGCATTCAGGCAGGCAGTATCAGGCATTCAGGCAGGCAGTATCAGGCATTCAGGCAGTATCAGGCATACAGGCAGTATCAGGCATACAGGCAGTATCAAGCATACAGGCAGGCAGTATCAGGCATACAGGCAGGCAGTATCAGGCATACATACAGGCATTATCAGACATACAGGCAGTATCAGACATACAGGCAGTATCAGACAAACAGGCAGTATCAGACATACAGGCAGTATCAGACATACAGGCAGTATCAAGCATACAGGCAGTATCAGACATACAGGCAGTATCAGACATACAGGCAGTATCAAGCATACAGGCAGGCAATATCAGGCATTCAGGCAGGCAGTATCAGGCATTCAGGCAGTATCAGGCATACAGGCAGAATCAGGCATACAGGCAGGCAGTATCAAGCATACAGGCAGGCAGTATCAGGCATACAGACAGGCAGTATCAGGCATACAGGCAGGCAATATCAGGCATTCAGGCAGGCAGTATCAGGCATTCAGGCAGGCAGTATCAGGCATTCAGGCAGTATCAAGCATACAGGCAGGCAATATCAGGCATACAGGCAGGCAGTACCAGGCATTCAGGCAGTATCAGGCATACAGGCAGGCAGTATCAGGCATTCAGGCAGTATCAAGCATACAGGCAGGCAGTAGAAGGCATTCAGGCAGGCAGTATCAGGCATTCAGGCAGTATCAAGCATACAGGCAGGCAGTATCAGGCATACAGGCAGGCAATATCAGTCATACAGGCAGGCAGTATCAGGCAAACAGGTAGGCAGTATCAGGCAGTATCAGGCAGGCAGTGTTAGGCATTCAGGCAGGCAGTATCAGGCATTCAGGCAGGCAGTATCAGGCATTCAGGCAGTATCAGACATACAGGCAGTATCAGACATACAGGCAGTATCAGACATACAGGCAGTATCAAGCATACAGGCAGGCAATATCAGGCATTCAGGCAGGCAGTATCAGGCATACAGGCAGTATCAGGCATTCAGGAAGGCAGTATCAGGCATACAGGCAGGCAGTATCAGGCATTCAGGCAGGCAGTATCAGGCATACAGGCAGGCAGTATTAGGCATTCAGGCAGGCAGTATCAGGCATTCAGGCAGGCAGTATCAGGCATTCAGGCAGGCAGTATCAGGCATTCAGGCAGTATCAGACATACAGGCAGTATCAGACATACAGGCAGTATCAAGCATACAGGCAGGCAATATCAGGCATTCAGGCAGGCAGTATCAGGTATACAGGCAGTATCAGGCATTCAGGAAGGCAGTGTCAGGCGTACAGGCAGGCAGTATCAGGCATACAGGCAGGCAATATCAGGCATTCAGGCAGGCAGTGTCAGGCGTACAGGCAGGCAGTATCAGGCATACAGGCAGGCAATATCAGGCATTCAGGCAGGCAGTATCAGGTATACAGGCAGTATCAGGCATTCAGGAAGGCAGTGTCAGGCGTACAGGCAGGCAGTATCAGGCATACAGGCAGGCAGTATCAGGCATACAGGCAGGCAGTATCAGGCATTCAGGCAGGCAGTATCACGCATTCAGGCAGGCAGTATCAGGCATTCAGGCAGGCAGTATCAGGCATTCAGGCAGGCAGTATCAGGCATTCAGGCAGGCAGTATCAGGCATACATGTAGGCAGTAAAAGTTAGATATTGGATTTTTAAAAATCTAACAAGTTAGACTAATCAGGTTAACTAGTATTTCTGGCTCACAAAAAAAGTAACACATTATCAGATGCTCACCATTCCGTTTTATTGTTTGAATACATGCTGAATTCCACACACAAGTTTTCTGAATTAGTGACCACAAAGCATGCACAGGCCTGCCCTGCAAATGCCAATAAGGGACTGAAATGATGGGGGTCCACGGATATCTGACTAGCCATGCACATAATCTCCCGTTTGATACAATCATACTATATGTACACTATATATATAAAAGTATGTGGATTGGGTTATTTCAGCCACACCCGTTGCTGACAGGTGTATAAAATCGAGCACACAGCCATGCAATCTCCATAGACAAACATTGGCAGTAGAATGCCCTTACTGAAGAGCTCAGTGACTTTCAATGTGGCACCATCATAGGATGCCACCTTTCCAACAAGTCAGTTCATCAAATTTCTGCCCTGCTAGAGCTTCCCCGGTGAACTGTAAGTGCTGTTATTGTGAAGTGGAAACGTCTAGGAGCAACAACGGCTCAGCCACAAAGCGGTAGGCCACACAAACTCACAGAGCGGGACCGCCGAGTGCTGAAGCACGTAGCGGGTAAAAATCGTCTGTCCTCGGTTGCAACACTCACTACCGAGTTCCAAACTGCCTCTGGAAGCAACATGAAATGGGTTTCCATGGCCGAGCCTCAGATCACCATGCCCAATGCCAAGCCTTGTCTGGAGTGGTGTAAAGCTCGCCGCCATTGGACTCTGGGGCAGTGGAAATGTGTTCTCTGGAGTGATGAATCACGCTTCACCATCTGGCAGTCTGACGGACTAATCTGGGTTTGGCGGATGCCAGGAGAACTCTACCTGCCACAATGCATAGTGCCAACTGTAAAGTTTGGTGGAGTAGGAATAATGGTCTGGGGCTGTTTTTCATGGTTCGGGCTAGGCCCCTTAGTTCCAGTGAAGGGAAATCTGAACGCTACAGCATAAAATGACATTCTAGATTCTGTGCTTACAACTTTGTGGTAACAGTTTGGGGAAGGCCCTTTCCTGTTTCAGCATGACAATGCCCCCGTGCACAAAGCAAGGTCCATTCTGAAATGGTTTGTCGAGATCGGTGTGGAAGAACTTGACTGGCCTACACAGAGCCCTGACCTCAAACCCATCGAACACCTTTGGGATGAATTGGAACGCCGACTGCGAGCCAGGCCTAATCGCCCAACATCAGTGCCCGACCTCACTAATGCTTTTGTGGCTGAATGGAAGCAAGTCCCCGCAGCAATGTTCCAACATCTAGTGGAAAGCCTTCCCAGAAGAGTGGAGGCTGTTATAGCAGCAAAGGGGGGGGGAGGGGGACCAACTCCATATTAATGCCCATGATTTTGGAATGAGATGTTCGACGAGCAGGTGTCCACATACTTTTGGTCATGTAGTGTATATAGGTGATACTGTGCCACTCAGATAGCATATTTTCTGACAGCAAAGCAATCTAAGGCCTCCTGAATAGTATACCGTTTCTGTCATCCAATAATATAGCAAAGGGCATCCTTGGGTGTCAAAACTATTGTTGACCCAAATAAATAGCAATGTGGGCAAACCATCCCAGCGCCATAAACCTATTAACATGATGACACATAGGCAATCAAGATTCAACTTTGTTTGTTGTGTCCATGTCACATTCAAAACGAACATATTGCTGAAGGAATCAGGTGTCCTATCCTTTGTGGAAGGGACAAACATACATGTCAGCTTAATTAATTCCCTTTTCAAGCCTTACTTGAATGTACTTCATTTGAATTGGATGGGTTTCTTCAGGGTTTTACCCATTATAATAGCTTCAGCGTTGGTCGCGAGCTGTGCACACAGTGCATTTTATCAAGGTATCAACGTAATCATTATCTGGAGGGAGAAAATGGAGAGATTAAACATGAAAGGACAAGCTCCCCAAGGGTTAAAATGGCCGCCTTCCACTGTGCTTTGAATAAGATGGTATTGCAGGGGGGGACAGCCTTCAGTGCCTCTGATGTAAGCTATGCAATCAAGGCAATTAAAAGGCTGAGATTCTATTTTGTCGTTTTAGAAACAGACCAATTATTGTTAACCATGTGCTATAAACAGCTTTCGCAAATTACTTAGGTTTAATTTCATTCAGACGTTTGAATCAGGCTTTATCCCTTTTCCTAGCTGAGGAATTGAATGCATTGAACACATTTTCAGACCCACTTACTTTCTCTCGTCGCCTGTAATAGTACCTTCCTTCCGTGGCTCAGATTCATTGCCTTAGCGCACTCTTGTTTCTCTCTCGTCTGTGGATATTCTTTAAGCCAGTGCTCAGTGTGCTCGTTTGGACATCTACCAAAGTTTGGCCTCTCAGTTTGAAATGTGTTTCTAGAATTTGGAATGCAAATGCTTTGTTCACAAGGAGGGGGAATCAGTGTGGAGTCTAAAAGCGACGAGTTTTTGATTAATGAGCTTTGAAATGTCTCTCAGGAGGAAGAAAGGATGCGCGGCACTCTGTTAGATATGGCTAAAGTTAAACACTACCGTTGCCTGCGTCATGCTTTAGTCACTCACTAGTGTTGGAAATAATATTGTACAATATTAGGCCTATATGTATTTGTGCAATTTAAACATCTTACCCAAAAATAGAGTGGTTTTTAAACGTAAAGGAACATTTCAAGTCCTTGATGTGGTTAAAGGCCTATATATGGACCAGTTGTAATAAGTTAACATATTTTGATAAATGCAAATCCTCAGTTACGTTGAATGTGGGATCTGCTTCACAATAGAATGTGGTAATAAATGAGAAACTCTGAGATGAAATATAGCCTACATTTTGCTAACAGAAAATAATTCGAAAAATCAAATTAATTACACCCCTGTAGCTCAGTTGGAAACACCTGAAATATGTATGCTTTGAAAAATACATAATTTTCTATATGTGTCTTTGATCTGCTTGCCTTTATGCAATGTTTGTACTGTGCACGCTCTCAACTGGACGTGAGCGAATAGAGACATGCCATTTCTTTGTTTAGGCTGTAAGCCTTCTTTCGATTTACTGTTACTTCAAAATGGCGACGAGGCAAATTCATACCTCAGTCCCAACCGGCTGCTGCAACTTAATCATTTTCTTACTGTTTTCAAATTTTTCTACGTGTGTTATGTGTATGGAAAATAACGGTGCTTTTAACCCACTGTGTAAATTTAAGCACTTTATTTACAAAATGTTAAACACATTAAAATATAACATTTTCATATCATTAGCGTTTCATAAAATGTATGCATGGACAGTCCAACTGATGAAATAACAAGGACGTGATATGAAAATTGGCAATGACAACAAATGACATGCTGGTGTGATTAATTTCTGTAATATTCGGTATTTCGATAGGCTACATGTAGCCTAACTTTGTTTTTTATAGTGGCACATGAAAAATGCCCCAATATTCCCAGATGTACACGTAGGAGATCGTTCTACAACAACCTAAAACCACCAGCCACTGAAACCATATCTTAGAACTAGTCTTCACCCAAAACATGTGTTCCTATTGAAGGGCTATGATCTCAAAGTCTGCCCAACTATGTTGCATAAATTCTAGATGTCCATATAAACAGTTATACATGTAAATTATAAATAATGTGTGATACAAAAAACCTTAAATAATACATACAGAAAAAGAGATAAATTCAATACAATCTTGGAAAAATAAATAAGACGCTTCAAATATAGCAAACAGACACCTTAGAGTTTTTTTTTTCTCTCTATAAAAACCATCCCTATAAAGATGGGTAACTACTGTCAGATTTACAGGACTTACCTTCAAGTAATGTTACGACATGTTCTGTCCCCGTTCTGCGCATTGCACTTCAGAAAACGAACAACAGACAAAACGGTCTCCCCTGCGCATCGTCAACAGTCAAGAAAAATGGACCGCAGCTATTCTTAGAAAATAATTATTACACAATAGCATTAATCGTAATATCAATAATAACACTGGGTAATACATTATTCACTTTTAGTGTAATCATATAAATGACTTTAGACTAGTGAGGTAATAAAAGAGACTAACAGAACTTGGGCACACAGACGGAATCCTCACATTTTACAAATGCGTTAGTTTAGAGGCTTCCTGAATCCTTCCCTGAGACGCATGGTGAGAGGTGAGGTCTGTATATGTGGGATGGGGGTCACAGGGTCCATGGTGGTGGTGGTTGCCTGGAATCTGAGCGGCACAGCTGTAGTCCACGCTGGCGGATGAGGGATGGGGGAGATGGCCGAGGTTGAACATGGGACCCGAGGCTGGCATGGAATCAACGAAATGTCCCCCAACGTACACCGGACTGCTTTGCAAATTAGCGTTGGCAAAGCCACCATTGCCTTGCATGCTGTGGTGCTCGTATTCGGAGCCCGGATACCTTTTCTGTTGCGGTATGCAGCCACCTAATGGTGCGGTGTACGCAGCCAAGCCGTACATGTTTTGCTGTGGTTTGGCGAATGAAGGGGGCGACGGCGCGTCATAGCTGAGACAATTTACATTGACAGAATATCCTATGTGATTTGGGCCACTTAATGGTGGGCTTCTGTCCGGGGAGTGTCCGATGGGAGAGTGCATTATCCCCTTAGCCTTCTGGTCCTTTTTGTATTTCATCCTTCTGTTTTGAAACCAGATCTTTATTTGGCGCTCAGTGAGATTCAATAAATTAGCCATCTCCACTCGTCGGGGACGACACAGGTACCGGTTGAAATGGAACTCCTTCTCAAGTTCTACAAGTTGTGCACTGGTGTAGGCAGTTCGGACCCGTTTGGCGGCTGGACCAGGTGGGCTTTTTTCATCGCAGGACTCACCTGAAAATACATAGTAAACACCATAAGTCTCTTTGTGTATTATGAATGATTTCTCATAGGCCTCCTTAGCTGGCTAAAATGACCCCTGCCTTTTTACGTACGCATACGCACGCACCACCATGTCCAGACGAATCATGCTAAAACACACGCACACACACTGTACCTTCTGCGGTTGAGCAATTGTTGTTGTTGTTGCTTTTCTGTTTGGCGTTCGATCGCGTCTCCTTCATCCATGGGAATATTTGTTTGTTAGTGACTGGGGTGGCAGTATTAGAAGCATTGTTTGAGGGAGATTTCTTCTTCTGAGATGAAGTGTTGCTGGAGTTAGGCGAAGATGCCGACAATGGAGGTGCTTGCGGCTGTTCACCAATATTCGGCTGTTGGCTGTTTCCTTGGCTGCTACTGGGTCTCGTGCAGTTGCCATTCATGTTACTGTCTTTATGATTTAGTGGCCGTACAGTTGGGGTTTGTATTGGACAAACTGGACCCTGATAATCACTCTCAAGGTTAGAGGTGGGGTAGGGCTGATGACTGGGGCCATAACTATATGACTCGGATTTGGGGTATGAGTAACTTCCAAAGACTCCAGAATTATCGTAGAAAGTAGCTTTCTGCATTGTGAGGATTCAAACCAAGAAGGCCCAACGCAGCCCTATCCAATGGTATGGGTGTTCTTCTATCACGTGATTGGTGTTTCCCACCGCGTCAGTGTTCTTTGACCTAGGAAGAGAACAGTTGTTATGCTCATTATGCAGGCAATATGAATTGAACATGTAGTAAACCAATACTCAATCATGACTGAGTATACACTATACTCTGAGTTGAAAAATAACCTTTCATCAATAACCTATTGATCATTTTCATTATATTCCTGAAGTCTGTTTTATTTTTTATTTTTTGCATTTGTTTCAATATAACTCCATGGAATATTACAAACAAATACAAGTATTTTTGTTCGTGTGCTCGTTTATGAAACTGAAAAACTACCAAAATGCTGTTTTGTAATATTTATTTCTTCACTCTCCAAACTTTGCTTTCCTGAACTATCAAATCATCAATAGCCCCTCTCAACCTCTCACTTTCGAACCATTTGGCATGTTTGGCACAAACTAGTTAAAGTTTAACTTGTGCCAAAAGATCAAAAGATTTTCTTCTTGAATTACTTGAGAAAAGGAGCTGAATCAGCATGGTGGCTCACACAATATCCCTTTCTGTTCCCAATCACAATACCCCACAAACCACCATCAGCTCTTATTGTTTAACATACCAGCATGTTCCAGAACTGCTCTCGATGTAGAATTCACCATTTATTTCAAAATCACATTTATAAAATAAATCTTTTTTTTTTAACATATGAATCTCGTTCATATGTTTTGTTTATTTGTTGGTAACATCTCACACTCATGACTTTTCTATTTTTAATGCCACTTCAGAGGTAACCTTATTCAAATAGCAATTAATAAACCATTACATTATTTTCGAAAATATTATCACGATGCATGTGTCCTAAGGGGGGTTATGATGCTAAATTAAGTGACTTCCTCTCTCCCTGTTTTCTCACCGACATATTGGGGTGGTCGGAATGGGTGAGTTCCCTATATGCTAATGATGTACGTGTATAACAAATGCTCCTAAATTCAGGCACCCTGACGTAGTCTGCAATCAGTAAGCCTATATTTAGTTTATAGTTAGCAATCATCTACCAGAGCCTAAACTAGGATACAAACATATTGTATTCTATTCAACATATCGTGCTACTTTTGGAAACAATTTGGAATTCTAGGCTTGAAATAAGTAACACACTGAATGGCCAAGGTATGAATGGAGGCGAACTGATACTGTAAGCAGCCTGCATGTCCGCGCCGTGCATATCAATGCACCTGTCATGGTGGACCGCAGCAAAGGGTATAAGTGCAAATGTTATGGTCGTAAACGCCTTAGAGAGGAACGAAAAGAAAAACACTCACCAAGACTTGCCACCCACAGAAGTGTAAAACTCGAAGCGTAGGAGGAAGACAAGCTAAAGAATTCCATACTCCGGAAGTTCTGCAGCAATAATACAGAGGCCGTTTGTGTAAATCAAGCCTCTACATTCTACATTGCTGCAACTACGCTCTCGCAAACGCACGTTTGAAACCGCAGAAAATAAAGGAATCATTTGGTTTATAAAAGGGACCATCGCCGTTGACGCAAAGGTGGACGTATTCCTGTTTGAAATTCGTATTGAGGAGGTGATGGGATGACCGGTAGAATTCTGTTTTGATTTTAAATGTTAATTCTGAATGATGTGCCCACTGGACACAGTCGTCAATTCAACATCTATTCGACATTGGTTCAACGTAATTTCATTGACATGATGTGGAAACAACCAGTATGTGCCCAGTGGGTAACCTAGCTATCTTTCATAACCAACTATATAGTAGTGTACGTGGATATGTTCCCTAATTAGGTTTATATGTTCTGCTTAAACAAAGAGATGATGTTCTGTTGCATCTGGACTTACTCTGCATTCTTGCATGTCAACATGATGAACCTTCTTCAACGTATAAAAGGACTAAGTGCATGTTTTAAACGAGCCTCTGGTTGGCTAGGCTATAGGCCTACAATTGCAAGGGAAACTGAAAATGCTAAACTGGCGAATTGAGTTAAAAGTTTGCCATTCACAATCTAGATAATCGTTTTCTTTTTTTCTTTTTTAAGGCCCTATTAAAAACTATTTTTGAGAATAAATAAAAAATGGTACGCTTAGGCCTATATGGACGGGCAGTGTTGTTTGGCGCGTTCATTTGAAAACATTAATATGTCATGGGTGTTGGTTAAATAAATGCTGCTCACCGTATTTTATGCAGATCAGTGTTGTATTGTTCTTCACGTGCTCATCATTACATCCACCATGACCTGAAAGAGAAAATAATCCATGGGTTTCAACCGCTTTAGCCCCACCATTCCTTCATTTAACTGGAAGAAAACAATGGGATTACTGTAGGGTTATCATTTCATATCACAAATGATGGCACCATTTATATAGATGTTTTGTTGAAATGATATTGTACTGATTTGCTTTTGTTTACAGTGAGATTTTCATGAAAACAGAATCTGATATAGCACCATAATTAACTTCTACGAACATGTATCTATTCTAATTGTTATAACAGGATACACGAGAAAAAAAAATGGGACAATTCAGAAACCACAAATTCGAACACATTATTATTTTAATTATAATGGATTTAAACTGAACATTTAGTGCAATGGTGGAGAGAAAACAAATCTTACAATGAAGATTCTATAGAAAGATGAGCTGGCCAAAATATTTAGCAGTCATAAGGCTTTTGGCTGACCTTTGGCTCGTTCATCAATAACTCATAGATTAATGAACAACGAGCGGAAGGGGTTCAAGAAAGTCACAATGAAATCCTAACCACCGAAGTTTTCACCAGTGTTTTAAAGCTGAAACACAGCCTGGCGATGGGACACATGGCCACAATTGTAAGAGATAAACGTCAGAATAAGAAACTAGTCTGTAGGCTAGCCTACTTGATGTAAGTTTGAACTCTGCTTTACTCATCTAGCCTAACAGAATATGCTTTGAGGTTATTTTCTGTCGGCAAAGAGCTAATCGTCTCATTTGATTTATAGCCTAGTGTTTCTTAGAAATATTTAAAACTCCGAAATATTGCTGAAGTCGAAGTCGATATGTTTTGAGTGGATTTGAAAGTGTATTGTTAGGATATATTGTTACTACTCTGGCCAGACACGATCCTCTTTTGAGACGACAATGTTTCTCGCCAACGCATTGCTACGGTAAGTTTGGTATATACAATGGGCTGCTACAAGAATCGTCGTCGAAAATTGCACTTAAATCTGCTGTCCTTTTCATCCTTAGTTTTGTGTCCATTGTACGCTTTTGATATGAAGTTGACTTCAAAGTTGTTGTTATTACTTTAGAAATCGAAGGGACAAATAATATAACTTTTGCGCATCCCTGGGCTGGGAAGCATGGGAGGATATAATTAATTAACTGTTCATACATTTTATAAAGCTAAGGCCTACAGCTTTTAGAAGCTTGTTAATTTGGCTATGTTTAAGACGAATTTTGGGATAAATCCTCCGAATTATTGAATGTGTTCTTCTTGTTATTCATTTGATTCTTATCGCTAGTTTGGCAGCTTCTTATAGCTTCTATGAAAAGATGTCGTCACTAGACGCATATCCTAAACATAAGCTTATTTCACAAACCTTTACTTGGACTAAATTTGTTTTAATTCAGTATAGTCAGAAAATGATTAGTTACAATCATTCATATATTACTTGAAAATATATCACAGTCAATAACACACAAGGGACCAAAAGCCTATTGTTTAGATCTATTCCTAATTCATATTGGATTCCCACAGGCCTATAATTTTGTATATATTTTTTTATTTTGAATTATCCAATAACTTCACAAAGGGTTAATGTAGCCTATAAGCAAAAATGAGTGCAGAACATCAATTAAAATAGTTTTAAATAGCCTATATATCTAAATGAAAATGCGCCTCTATATTTTTGGTCTTATTTACAAATAGAGAAATCCTGAAAATATTTCTCAAATCTAAATTAAAATGATTTAATCCATTATTATTTACATTCGCAGGTTAACAAATCCATGTTGTTGAAACCACATAAATCATGTCCAACATCACTGTGATGATAAGACAAATGAATGTGATTTACGATCTAACAATCTAGAAGTCAGAATGAAATGCCTATTTTTCCTTCTCTTTCGGTCAGTTTTCATGTAACTGCAAAAGCAGCTGAAAACCGATTGTCAAAATACATCCATCCAAACTAGCCTTCGAAAGTGGTTTCTCCCAAAATTGTGTCTTAAAATCGTATCTCAGGTCCATAAGACGAAGGCTATCTGCGTAGTTACCGACAAGATCCCCTCTGAATGGAATAAATCATATTTATTCTCTCGTGTTGTGTAAAGCCATGGTTAAAGGTTGCATTTTGCCATGCAATTGCTTACCTGTGAATCAATGCATCATATACTCGTGCTTCTTAGTCTCAATTCCTTTCCCTGCAGTCTCTAGAATATATCCTTCACCCTTTGTCTGTAGACAATACTGTCCTAAACCTGATCTTGCGGTTTTTCAGACATTTCCATATACCAATGCAGACAGTATTCCCGATAGAATGGAAAGACTCATATTCAACTACCAATAAAAAAACGAAGAAGGTATCCTTATTCCACCCAAAAAAAATTCGGCCAATCAATCTCCTATTGAAAAATACAGGTTTTCAGACACAGTCACAGAATTGAAGCTAACATTATGATTTTTGTGTTTCGGAAAACCTTTATGATGACAAATCAAGGCACTGCCTTAAAATACAAGCATATTTGTTCACGTGATCGAGATGGCAGATTGTTCTGATTGAGGCTGCTTCTTCAACCAAGCCTCAGCTCCCAAACCCATTTTGAAATGGGATAGCGTTTACATTTCCTTATCTGACCTGTGTCCATAGTGAAAATGCTTAACTTGCGATTTGATTTCATTCTGCTGAAGATTTTGTCTTCTTCTCTCCATTGCAAGAAATATAATTTGACGTATTATTTGGTCAGGCTGTACTATACCATTGTAAAGACATTGGTGGTTATTTAGTCATCTTTAAGATATAATATTAAGCTTTACATTTGTCTTTGTTTACCTGATTACAAAGCCTCTAACCCCAATAAATGTCGTTTTGAGAATCCTACTCAAATGTAGTTCTGAACAGAATTTCGGATACAAGATTTCACATTTGGATTTGTCCATCGATGCATTATTGGTACACTTGACAACTATAATCATACTGTTTTCACAATTGTTTTAATATAAACATTAATTGTATATCTACAATGTGATATTAGGTTGAGTGAGATGTGCATTTTATAATGTTATGAAATCCATGAACCAATATTAATGCATGAGAAAAAAGGCGTCTGGAATTGTATTCAAATAAACCCATTTGGAAACCCTTTTGTCTGCTGTGTGTCTGCTGTGCTATCTTCTCATGCTGTTCAGCCGCACGGTAGCCTACATTTGAGCATCAACACAAACAACGGAAATATATTTTCTTTTTCAGCCACTATTTTCGATGTAAATAGAAAAACGCCTTAAAATGACAATCAGTGAGATCAAAAATCAATTGGAAGATGGAGATTTAAAGCCATAAAAGACAGCGGGGAAGCTGGCGGAGAGGCTGAGGAAAGGTTGCAGGACTACTAGCGTCGCAGCATATGTTCATGGGTAATAAAAGGGAAAGATTTACAGTGTGCGCCCGGGCCCCCAACAGCCTCGCACCCTTTCAGGAATTAGCGAGAATGATTTACAACGAGGCAGATAACTGTCCACCTGCTCAAAGACAACTTCTACTGTGAGCAGAAATACATTTCGAATTATGCCCCATCAACAATAAAAAATGTTAACAATGGGGCGTCATCTCAGTTGAATCTAAAGAGAGATATTCTTACAATAATGTTTCCGATTTGTGTTTTTTTGCCATAACGCATGTAGCTGGAGTGTTATCCAAATAATATAGTAAGATGTTGTATTATAACATATTGCACTTGTACCACTTTGAAATGTTTTTCAACTTAGCACTCTGTTTACATTTTGTAACAGGCAATTTGGTGTAAACCAATGACTACATTGCTCTCTTTAGGAATATTATAAATCACAGAGGCCCTAGCATACAGCCTTCAAGAACGAAATAGAACTTCCCAACAGTGCTGCATTCATTATGCCCGCACATTCATGAATACAACGATTTCACACAGAAGGTGACTGAAAATATTTCAATTTTGTTTCTACCTGCTATGAAACATAACAAGGATGCTAGTTTTCAAATATTGCCACTTTATAATATTGGCATTGTCCTCTTGGTTTATTTCTTCCCAAAAATCAAAGCATTAAAGAGCCATAAGTTCAGCCTGTCCAAGGCACACGCATCAAAGGGCGCTATTTATCAAATATCTGACAGTTATGGTCATTTACCATCTTACAACAAAAAAAAAAAGAAGCAAAAATATTTACCTACCAAGCTTCCATTGGTTGAGATGCTGTGTTAAAGTGCTGGCTACAGATGCGTTGAGTATCGGAGCGTTTGGATATTATTTTCTTAGGATCTCTTCAGTTTTCATGTCTGATAGAGTCCTCGCGATTAATGACGACGCTGTGTTTCTAGGGGATGTGATGCATGAATTATTTAGAAAATCACGTGGTCAGAAATAGAGCGAGGAGCGGTATATTCTCTGAATTACATCTTCGAATGCAGACAGCAGTTTAATACATTTTAAGGGGCTGTCTCGCTTGGCGAAGACAGTTTCTGCGAACAGCTGGAAATCAAATATGGCCGTTTGAAAGCCATTGTGAGCGCAGCAATGGTGTATTCCATATTCTGTGTAGTCATTGAAAATGGCACTGCCTATGGCTCTCATTTATTTATTTCAGACATGTAGGTCAATGCACACTGCACATGGTAGGGCAGGTACCGACATATGATTGCTTTTCTCAAAGGCATTTTATCATTATTCCCATGGACATGTCGGTGAACTATGGAAACACAATTTACATGTTGACATGCCTCATAGGTCCACTGTGGAAAATAAACATGGGAATATGATATTCAGCAATCCATTATGGTAGTCTTAGAACTGCACGTATTACAACATGGTTTACATGTAGAACTGATGTTTATGATTGTATCATTTTTTTTTGTCAGAGTTCATTTGGTGCGGTGTTCTTTCTTTTTCTATGACATGACACTGCACGTGCATATTGCTTGTACACTACAATCTATGTAGTGGCAAACTGAAGATGAATAGGTTACAGTGTAATGGCCCTGATGAGAGCGACACGAAGCTTATAAAGGAGCACGCGCAAACGTGAAGATACATGCGC